CACTACATCTATGAATTTACCAGCATTCTTTGCAGGGCTTCCACGCTTTGTCCAGCCACTGAAATGCCATTGATTTCTCGGATCTCGTCGCCCACGTGCAACGTTGCTTGCCGGTGTATCATGCCGCCATGCATTATCCGCGCCACTATACACCGGCCAGTCTCGTCCAGCTTCAGAGTAATGCCCTGCATTGAATTGAGCAAAAAAAAGCGAAAACCAAAGCAATAATATAAAGAAATACCCAGTATACACACTGTACTGATCACTGATAAGCACTCATACAACAGAAAAAAAATAGCAAAAACAAGGCTTACTTGAGTTTTGTGTTATAAGTTATAAGTTGTAATACTGTATATAAGTTATAAGCTAGTTATGTTATAAGTTTTGGTTATAAGTTTTGTGGTCTGTGCATAGGGTAGTATTCTTTTATTTCTTGCAGAGTCTTGACTCTTGGGCAGTGGTGCCAAAATTTATCCCACACAAGGAGCAAAAAAAAAGACAGAAAAAAGAATAGGTGAAATCTCAAATTTTCTTGGCATTCCGGGAAAAAAAATGTTCATCAAAAAAGAAAGAAAGTTACTGTTGGGTTGCATTTTTTCTGCATTCCTGCCATAGGATTATCATTGAGGGATTTTCAGAACAATGGCTTCACATTTTCCTCCAAGCTTGGCTATACTCAGCCAAAGCTGCATTTTGGTGGAATTTGGTCAAACCGAAATCCACACGTGTGCAAAAAAAAAAAAAAAAAAAATCCTGGCACCGCTGTGCAATAGAAAAGGACCCACCTCCACCCAAGGGTTAATGGGTATTATGGGATGCAAATACTTGTACAAAATGGTCATTTGAAGATTTTTACACAATTTTAAAACTTTTCCATTTGATTGTTTGATATAATGCACTGTACAAGCTTCATTTTCCGCTTATTCTCAGCTTTCACATGGTTAAACAAATGTTTATATTTTTTATTTAGGGAGAAATTGAGAGAGGACAGAGGAAATGTGTTTCATCACAAAAATACAAAAGGTAATAGAACATGGTCTTAAAAATTTGTTTTGAAGGAAAACAGCGGGGTGGCTCATTGGTTTTGTCAAATATTTTCAAGAAAAAAAAAAAAACTCGGAGTCAGTAAAAAAAAAAAGTCAGGGTTACCATCGGTTCGTCCGTGTTCTTCTGAAACTGGACCAGTCGCACCCGCGTCACATGAGTCTCTTCCTCACCACCGCCGCCGCCGCCGCCACCGCCGCCTCCAGACGACCCGGCCTCGGACGCCGCCGCATAAATCCCTCCTCCTCCTCCACCGCCGCCTCCTAGGCCAACACCGCCGCCAGCCAGCCCAAACGTGGAGCCTGAAAGTCCGCCAGAGTTGCCGAAACTCGACAGGCCGCCAGAGGCGCCGTTTGCAAACGGGCCCATGGCGCTCGGCGGCGGCGTCACTCGGATCGCCTCTTCTCCGTACACCTCCTGTGCTACAACGTCGTGGGCTTGCAACAACGCCTGTATCAATTTTTTTTTAAAGAAAAAGAAAAAAAACAATGGATCATTTGAAAAAAAATTCGAAACAATCCAAAAAAATAAATAATCGTTATTTGCAAAAGACGCGCAGGCCACTTGATCAATGCCTACAATTGTAAGAAATTGGTAAAGATTCCCTGAGTTGTATTTTCTTGTCTTTATTTTTCTTGGTATTTACATTCAAAATGGTACTTCAGTTTTTTGTTGTACTTGAGTAATTTAAAGCTGGTTGTGAACTAAAGCTAGTGAAGGTTCCAACTAAAGCTAAGTGAAGGTTCTAGTGAAGCTAGTGAGTGTTCTGGATCTTCAAGTGACAGCCAAGTGGTAGTTATTCAGGAGTGTGAAAGTTGGATTATTATTCATGCTTCCATTTTCATTATTCCAATTGCTATCTATTCATGTACTCTGAGCAATTAAAAGTGTGCTGGTGCTGAATCAAAGAGATTGTTCAACTACTTTGGAAGCTTAGGAATCTTTTTGTGAGCTTTCTTCTGGGAGAGCAGGACTCTGTACATAAGCGGACAAGTAGCCCCACCGGTGTTTTGGAAGTTACAGAGGTGAATTCATTCAAGAACTTTCATACAATATTTAAAGAAAATAAAGAAAACAATCCTTAATAGCCTGTGTTCAGAACTGTCATGAATAAAGATGGTGAGGTTGAAATTAGATACATTTTAGAAATAAATTCAACAAGGAATTTGGTTGGGCTACAACCGTGGTGAAATCTCACCCTATTTTAAAGTTGTTGTAGTTCAAACACACAAGGATATTTGCAAAAAAATGCTCAAGTGTCACACACAAGAGCTCTGGCAGAAGTAAAAGGATTTTGATAGATTCAGAAATCAGGAAAACTGTCCTCCAAGGACAAATAACAGAACCAGGATTTTAGCAATAAAAAACAGCCTTGGAGGCTTCCGGAAAATTTGAGTGTGAACCAAGGTCTTTCTTGATTCACACAGAGATAAATGATGACAAGAATTCAGGTTCTTAAGTTTAGCCTGTTCAAATTTCATTTTATCATTTATTTTTGCAACAAGAACAAAATTCCAAATAAAAAGGTTTATTGACAGAACAAAAGTATATTTATTTTTCAGTTAATCACACGACGCTTGAAAAATACATGGATACTTTCATTAATTAATTATTTAAGATAAAATCAGCATCAAGACTTGACATAAAAGATTGGTCCAATTCCTTTTTTAATTCATTGAACCTCTTTGAATCAAATTTCAAGGGACTGCAAAAAAGTGTAATTTAAATTTTTCCAGTAATAGGATATTTATGTTTACTCGGGCAGGTTAATCAATGAAAAATTTTGTATGCCCAAAATTGTTGAAATTATTAACTAGCAGGAATATGTTTAATCACTGGTGAATAGCATAAGGGAAAATAATTTGCAAGTCGTACAATCAGTTTCTGCCAGTTGTACTTGTA